GTTAGCGTTATACTATAGGCGCGTCAATGAAAAATGGCTCTTATTTCACTTTAACGGTCTTTATTTTGGATATGTGATAAATAGAATATTAAATTCGTGTAAGTTCCATACTGAATTTATTGCACTCAGAGCCAGAGGGCCAGAGGCTCGCATAATATAATTTTATTCAACTCGTGCAATAAATTCAGTATGGAACTTACACTCATTCAATATCCTCTGTTTATTATATACTTCTTTGAATTTACAGTAAAAATATGGAAAATGAAAATATCTTCACCATATTGATGTTTATAAAAACAATTTAAAAGTAGAATCTAAGTTCAGAAGTTTTATAAAAACAAAGGTTTAACAAATTTACCAACCGAATTACATTTTTATTTTCGTATGGAATCAAAATTTTTTGATGCGTAGAATAATTTTTTCAACGGGATATTACATGATAAAATTATTATGCCCTAAATGTTGTTACACGTGTCAGAGAACAATATAACCAGAAATGAACGGTGATATAACTCTTTTACTAGGTGATAAAATCAATAGACATTCAGATATATCCATATATGCCTTTATTTAAATAAATTTATCATTTATAAATCTCTATTGTAAAGTTGCTTTTGTTTGATACAAATATTTTATAAGTATACGTAGACACAGCCACAGGAATGTCCTTTATAACATGAAGTAATATATCACCATTACCCTAGAGATAGTATTTTCATTTACACTATATCATGCCATTTATGCCATGAAAAAAAAAAAAATTTATCACATACATTTCAGACAATTGGAGAATCAAATGTTCGAAATGGCTCAAATTTCACATTTCCTTATTGAATTATTAATGATTAAGTAGATCTCCATTAGACCGTAGCTAATTCGAACAATAGCGAAATGCCTATTCAGCACCGTCTTAAAGCTGCATGCCTCCAGATGAGCCAAAATATTTCAAGAAAATAAAACTTGAGAAAAATGTATTGAGGTTTTATAAAAAGTAAAAAGACTAAAGATAAAAGTAATAATTTCCATGTTATTTGCCATTGATGGCCAATTTTTCAGTTATTTTCATCGTATTTCTACTGCGTTACTAACGCAGTAAGGGTTAATTTGGCATATTTTGACCTCTTTTTTGTAATTTACATTGGTTGTAAGTGCCGTTTGAAATGTGCATATTATTTTCTCTGTCAGCTTAACAATATTTTACTTTTAAATACATTTTCAAAATTTTCATGAACATTAGCAGGAATCTGGAGGCGTGCTGCTTTAATTATTACTTCTGTTGCAAAGTCTAAAATTATTCCCGCGGAAAGGTAGAAAATGTAGACTTGCACGCGGTGCTATGACTTGGTTGATTCAAGAACGCTTCAGTTAGACCATAGCAATTCTTGCTTAAGCCAAAATCATAAATTGTCATAGTCAAATAGCAGTCACTTGATTGCAGACATTTTCACGGACGCTTCTTTTATAGACCATGACTGTAGTAACGTCCCACGTGAACGCTAGCCTAAAACGAAAGAATTATATAAATAACGCTATAACAATGACTTCATTGCAGACAACAAGCTTCTGAACGATAAGATCACATTATTAAACTAGTTGGAATTGATTTGATTGCAGATACTACCGCTATTAATGAGCAATAAGACATTACGCTCTTTTAATGACTCCAGACAGCACTCCTGTGACTTTGACAAAAAACACTCGAGCGATGGCTCGATTTCAGACACTCTTGTGAACGCTACTATTGTAAGAATTTATGCTTTAGCAATCACTTGATTGCAGGAACTCTAGTAAAATCACTTGATTGCAGACACTCTTGTAAACGATACCATTACAACTTTGGCTCAAACAATCACTTGATTGCAGACACGTCCGTGTACGATTTCATTTCAAATTAAGCTCTAGCCGTCACTTGAATGTGAACGGTATACCATACACAATGAAACATAACGCTCCAATGAGTATATTGCATACTTTCGTGCACAGTACTTACAATGTAACCTGGCCATTGTTGTAATCGTTGGACGCTTTCAAGAACGCTGCCATTGTAGCATTACTAATTCATGGTATTCACAGCCATTTACAGAAACTTTCTTTTCGCAACAACTGTTCCATTCTCTTTGCAGGATTACTGAATATCATTGTTTCTTGTCGTGCTGGACACGAGTTCAGTAAAGCCATAAATTCAAAGCCATTATTATTCCCCGTATGAAATGCTGTAGAAGTACTAATTAGAGGACACAATAAGTAAATGTCGGGGAATTTGACGAGTTCATTAGTCGAATACGGTCCTTTATAAACATTTAAACGATGTATTGTCATAATAACGTTTATAGAAAACTGTATCTTTCATTATACGATGATAAAAGAAACCGAATTCTGGTGACAAAAAAAAATGCACTGTCTATTTACAGCAGAATTAAATAATAATTCACAGAATGATAATGATAATTCAGGAAATGGCGGCCTTTTGATTGTATATGCTCTTGCGTGTGCAGCCGATCACTTACAGCGTTTGAGTTTTCATTGACAAACTAAAAGCAAGTATTGAATTATTTGTGTTTCTGACGTATTTATTTCATGGTTAACGCAATAAGACTATTGTTCAAATATATTAAAACTCTTGAACCATAATTTAAACCATTATTTCGCTCCAGACGTATCGAACTACTTGTAAATATTTTACCGTTTTTTCAAAGGAAATTGCTTGTTTTAGTTAAGGCGTATATCTCTTGCATAGTTGGTTACCAGCTATAGGAGACGGCGGAAACAAATAGCATGTGTACATTGTCTAGCTATTACCAGACAAGTACTTTGATATTAAAATAAAATTCTCACAGCTGCACCATTATTGCAGATTTCCAGATTTTATTTCATTTTCTTATGCTCTTCGTAAGTGAGAAAAAAAATCCAATTTCCACGTTATGGCCAGCGTAGATGGTAAGTAAGTTGTATAGTCAACATGACATTCAAAATCTATTTTAGGAGAAAACCTTTAGTTGCATTTGTCTAAATGTCAGCAGGTCACATGTCAAAAAAGCCATATGTAAAAATAAGGAATAAATATTGAAAGTGTTAGTTGCAACCTGTCAATGGCTTAGTAAAGCAGTCTATTCATCAGTGTACGTTGCTTTTTCGCCAGATTAAAGGAACTCCATTGTGGCCAAAAAGCCTAAAATTTGAATTTCCTATATATAGATCATTTGGAGCACTTGAAACAGAAAGATATGCAAATTATAATTACGAAATATACTCAGAAATAATTCTAAAATAGTATTTTATGCTATTCTTTGCCCGGTGTGAGTAAAAAAGCGTTGCAACGCTTTTCAGTTGTGTGTCTTTTTTAATAGAATAATTATTCTGGAAAAACGGAGTGAGCGAATGATCTGAAATTTTTCACACAAGATTGATATACAAAAAATAGATATGGCCACCTATATGACTATTGAACAGTTATATTGCTTGTCATACATTAACGTTACAAGTTTTTTTTTGAAATGCCACGAGAATCAGAAATAAAGCAGACAATGTTTTCATAATTTTATAGTATCTATTTCAGGACACATACGTTCAAACCTGTAGGATAATCGCTGTAGGATAACCACAAACTGAACTTCCGTTAGAATGATAGGTATGGCATTAGCTCGATGTAGAGAACACTTTAAATGAACCAGTATCAGGGACACCTTGCTTTATCTTTCATTTTAATACAAGACCAACATTCCTACTCCCCTTGAGCTATATGGGCAATAGTAAAGGACTTTAATTATTAAAGGACTTTGATATTATCACACGCATCCTTGCACGTCCTAATTTTATTGTTTAGTGACAGACTGGTGTGTAGTGTAAATTTTGTTCAAGTAACAAGAGCTGTCAGTAGGGCAGCGTTCTCGACTATTGTCATTGCTTGATAGTAAAACAAGAGCCTGGATAATGTATAATTTTCTTATTTTAAAAAGGGTCATAATTCTGTCACAATCCACGACGAAAGTTATGGGTCGTGGACGGTGACCTCCTATTATGCTCTGAAATAAGTGTGTCAAGTTTTAACCCATTCCCTACAGTAGTTTTGGAGATACCAACTGGCAACCAAAGACTCAATCAGTGTGACGGCGACGCCGACACCGAAGCCTGGGTGAGTATATACATGTACTTCGAATAGTCGAGCTTTAAAGGTATAGGACTGTATTGTAACTTCAAAATATACAAGTATTGAATAATTCTTAAGTGTATAATTCATTAAAAACCAATGCTAGAGTTATATATTTTCCCCCAGTGGTAAAATTATGATTCTGAAGCTGTATGTAAGATTTCAAGTGAAAACCTTACTTCAGAGGTTGTCAAGATAGTTCTTGCAGCAAAATCTTAACCTGGAAATGTTCTGTTTCATTCAAATCATTACTATTTGATCTGGAAAGTGGTCTATGATCCAAGACATGTATAAAGTCTGAAAGATTTACTTTGATAAAACATCAAATCTTACACCATCTTTACTTAAGTTAACACCAAATTAAAAATATCTTGGACTCGTTTTTCTTTCAAAAACTATTCAGTAGCTTTATATATTACAGATGTATTGACTGAATAGTGAACAGTGCAGACCATCATCAGATGGTACTAGTTGCATGGGTAGAACCTAAAGGCTAAACTCAATATTTTCAGGAAATGAGTTACTTTCATTAAGATGTACTGAATGAATAGTGAACAGTGCAGACCATGACCAGATGGCACTAGTTGCATGGGTAGAACCTGAAGGCTAAACTCAATATTTTCAGGAAATGAGTTAATTTCATTAAGATGTACTGAATGAATAGTGAACAGTGCAGACCATGACCAGACAACACTAAAATATGCCGACTAATTTTGGTCTGCACTGGTTGCATGCAACATGCAGGTTAAACTTTAACCAAGTGTTACACAAGTATTAGTGGAAAAGTCACACTATTCTTTGTAAAGTCATTATTTTTCTTTAATATTCATAAAAACAAAACCCAACATGGAAATATTGCAGTGTCATTTTAATAGTCAAATTTTACACTTTTTGTTAAAAATATCTGTATTCAAACATCCATTCAATAACACAATCCTGAAATATTCTATAACAATTTCAGCATCCACTAACAAATATTTGGCATGGTCAGCCAAACATGGTATATCTGTATGTATATAAATGCTATATACACTATACACTGTCTAAAAATATGGGAAAAAATAAAATAAAAAGGCTTTTTATGTATATATAAAACTAGAAAAATTAGATTTTTTTGGTTTGTCATAGGTTGACAATGAGGAAAACAAGACTGACAGTAAAAATATAATGATAGTTGAGAGATGAGAGAGAAATGTAAAAGAATAAATAACAACAAACTTATCATACAAGAGTAAAAACATATACAAGCACAATACAATGTATACTGGTGACAGGTTTCAGACCACAAAATCAGCTGCAATTCAAATGTGCACACAGAAATATGCACTTTGTCAAAAGAAAACATCAAAATAGTTTGTAAGTTTCCATCATATGACAGTGTGGGACTAAACTCTGGATGTCTATTGGTAATTTGGTATAACTATTTATACAGGTATACTTTGAGACTTAATGCAAATGAGGGAATAAGCCTTGGTCAAGTTTTCAGATGTAAATGTACATGTATAGCTGTGAGACTCAATAGAGAAAATAACGAGATTTCTTGTTGGAAAGTAACAATATAAAAACATGAAATTTGTAGAAAAACCTAATGTCTTATATAAAACAGTATTTTAGAAAAAAATTAAATTTCAATGCTTTATGTTTTACAACCATACTGCTATTTCCTTGTGACATATTCCTACTATATCCCTGCTTTTATAACTGCGTTCAAAACAAGAAAACACAACCAAAGGAACGCCTGGTTAAAAAAAAAACCTGAACAATGAAAAAAACCTCAAATTTTAACTAAATTATTTTTTTTTCAGTAGCATTTTTATGATATGGTCCCAAAGTTAACAAGAGAAAGCAAAAAGTCAATAAATAATAATATGTAATAAACATCAAAATGAGATAATTATTTACGTGCATGTAAGTGTAAATGAAAAATAAAACAAACAAACTTGGTCAAATTTGTTGTTTCCAAAAAATTTTTTATCAGATACATGTATCTTCATTTAGATGACAAATCTATTGCTTAAAAAGAAATGCCAGGCAATAAGATTCTGACATATTTTTCTAAACAAAAACTTATGCCATGCAATGACTGTTTGAGATAACCACGAAAGCATTGCATTTCTTTTAATTAAATAAAAGTACTAAAAGGTACACTTTAGTATAAAGATACATGTACTAAAACATAATCATAAAAAAACTATTAGACCTTGTCATAATGATTTATGCAGCTATTTTATGTTTACTATTAGTATTGTATACATTTTTGACCTAGTTATTCTTCCCTCTTTTTTTTATACATTAGATTTCACCTTCAGATACATATTTATTAGATGCAGTGGATTTCTGTTAATTCAGTGTAACTAGAAACAGTGCAAAATCAATGTTTTTCCTGATATGACCTCTGCTTGTGTGGAGGCTACTAGCTCAATACCACATTTTCATTTACTAACTAGGCAGTCATTAACTGCATACCAACAAAAACGTCATGGCAATATTTTATTGACTAAACATAATTATTTATATTTATATACCGGATATTTTATAAACCAAGTGAAGTTTTCACTAACCTAGTTACAATGTCAATATTTCTTTCTTCCTATTTCAGATGCAAAGCTTCAAAACAGCCTCATGAATTATGTAAGATACGACGAATAAATTTCATTTTTTCCTCAATGGGAAGATTATACAAATATTTCCGCTTTAAACTTTTCATTTACATTGTTGAACTTGACATGAAATTGCCAGAATAATTTTACAATGAAAGTTTTCATTCATAAAAGTAATCTCTGTTTAAATAATTTCATTCAGATAATTTCAAATGCAATTGTATTGGTAGCCGGAAACAGACATTTTTTTTTCTTTTTGAAAGGTTTATAAATTAAAAATTGTACATGTTTGAACATGTAATCATCATGTAACAAATTTTGTTTGAGGACAATCTCTAAGGATAAATTATTTAGGGACAATCCCCTTAACCTACATTGTGTAAAAATCAGGAAAAGTGAAATCCCTCAGAAGCAAGTCATGTTAATATAAAATAAATTGTTTATACATGTTTTTTTTAAAGCATATTAACGTGCAGATGTTTATCTTAAAAATGATTATTCTGTCTGACCTGAATAGTTTTTTTACCTTAACAAACAATTTTAACTTCTTCTCAAAACTTAAGAAACATGTACCATTTTTAGTTTTAAATATATAAAGCAACAATACCAATGTTTTCTCAGATACATTACATACACAGTAATAATTATCATTCTCAAGTTATTTCTAACCTAACAAAATATTTTAGATGATAATGTAAATGATTTCAGATATAACATTTTTTGTTTGAAACAAACTTGATCCCTTATGTATTACAATGAAATATAAATGCAACAAGATTTCTCATGAACAGGGCAATATTCACTTGACATTAGGCAAAATGTACAGTAATCAAGGCCAATAGTAATGCATGAAAATTGCAAATAATTACTACTTTGTATTACAGTAAGTTAGGCCAAGGCAAATATATGTCTGTTCACAACTTTCTGTCCCCTCAAAATATACAATGTATGTTACGATTTGCAGGTATGCCATTTCTTGTTTACTTACAATAAAAGTTTACAATAACAGTATTTTTTTAACATTTATAGCCATGCCTTGTAACAATAATTAATGCATTCTGATTGGTCAGGAAACTTAAAACAGACTTATATTTGCATGGCCTTATTTCATTATCATTATTTGTAACTCAACACCACAATTATTTGTAATAGTATTTGTAAGTATTCAAAATTTTACCTTGGGCATTGTCATTATAAAAACAGTAAACTCTTTAAGTTAATAAAATTGAAATTTATGTATAACAATCTCAAGTTATCAGCCCCTGTTTAGCAACGTTGGAATTTCTTTTATTGCATTTAATGGTATTTGAATAGATAAAATTCATTTGTTTGCCTACCAATTCATTCACACAAAAAGTAACAAAATTCATACATTGATAGATAAACTTAAGATGAAATTCTTCAACAGATAAGTTTCAAGTACTGGTATCTCATTGTAAAAAAAGGCTTTATCTTAAAAAAAAACAAACTATAAACACAAAATGCGCTGTATACTGATATATGTATAAAAATGGAAATTCTTAAAAAAAAAACACATGGTAAAATTATTTTAACCTGAGGGGAACTACTACAATACTCTGTATCACAACTGTTAGAAAGTTTTGATCAATAGTGGTGATTTTTGTAGATTGCCTGCCGCCTTATCTGCTATAATTCCAACCTTTACCCTGTAAGCAAATGGCTATTCCATAGATTTTACAATTATGCCACTTCAATGGAGCTTTCGCTGATTAGAAGCTAAAGAACAAGAATGAAATCAATATTCTAATGTATTTGCTTGGTATGCTTTCAAAACATGCAATGTTACGGTTCACTTATCAATTGTGTGTATTGTGTAGGTTATAGATTAATAAATTTGATATTGGCGATAGATTTACAATATATGAAATAAACCTTATATAGTTGGCAATTTATATTAGCTTACTTAATCAAACTTATCAATACAGGTCAATAAAAAAAATAACTTATTTTATATGCTCATAAATCTATACTTCTGTAAATACTTCTAATCCAAGCAAAGAAACTGATAAGAAATATGTGCATTTTCATGTTGCAAAAGTAAAAACATCAAGATGATAAAAATATTTTCACATCCCACAATGAATTCCAGAAGAAAAAAAAACACTATCTGGGTAAAAGAAACTATCAATTTACTCCAATTTACTGACCCATGATTGATAAAACATTTGAGATTTTGGATAAAAACTAATTATGTTGCCAAGGAATAAATTATCCATAACTTCATAAAGCATATGCCAAAACCATTAACAGACTAATATTTCTCCCTAGAAACAAAACACAAGAATGGTATTCTGACCAGAGATCTGGTTATTGGAAAATTAATTGATGAGTGAACGCAGAGATTGGAATATGTAGCATGTCAATCAGCCGGCAAATTACATAAATCAGGCACACAACACGTTGATGGCTTATCAATAATTAGGCCAGTCTTACATTTTCTGGTGTTTTTTTTTCAAAATTTGTATACAAAAACATTAAATTAAAAAAATCAAAGGCAGCAAAATAACTCATTAACAGATAATATAGGACTCTAAGCAATTTTCTTCACATTTGGTAAACTGAAGTAACTTACAGCTTATACACTGCCTAATTACAAACTGCCAAATTAACATTACAATCAACTTTTTAAAGGTAGCTTAAATTCAGACTGGAGCTCGCTCACTAATATTTAGGTCAAGGCAAAGAAAGAGAAGTTATTTTTCTCCTAAAATAAAATATTGTGTAAAACTCATTTTTATATCTAAAAACTCATTTAAAATGTAAGATCTTTACAATAGTGATTACAATATGGAATTAAATAAAATTGAACATTAAATATTTAGACAAAATTTAAAAAAAGTAACAATCTTCTCAAAGACTGTAAAAATTAAGCCTTAACAAACATAATTTTAAATTAATACATCATCAAAACAAATGTCATAAAAACAAAGCTTTGGACCAAGTATAAATAGTGCAATTAAAATGACACTTCTTTTTCCTTACTCTGACCCAAATGTTTCACAATTTGTATCCATGATAAGCTATCAGTCCATTCAAAAAGTACACATTTATCCAGCATGTTAAGCTAATGACAATGTACCATCCTTGAAGGTACTATAGATAAAACTATTATATCACAGAAAAAACAAATGATCAATGTTTAAAATGATCATAGTCAAGTTTTTACATCCTGTCTCTGAACTTAGTATGGATGAATAACACAATACTAGGACAGCAATGTTGTGCACACAATGTGGTAATAATATGAACATTTTGTTCAATAAATACTGATCATTAACAACACCATACACATCACAAAAAATCCATTCTTTACAGAATTCAGCGCACATTCAAACAACACAATTCCACATATAAACCTGATGCACATTTTCACTGAACAGCACATCGAGTGTACAAAGTTCACTAGAATAGAATATATTAGTTTTGAAAATCAACTCAACAAATGGAAAAGAAAATTTACTGATTTCATTTCACCAAAATTCTTAATTTTCAATCCACATTTTGGCTGGTGCATTTAAAAACTTCACACAATTTCCATTCAAAAACCACAGAGTGATTTTATTTATTTTGAATAAGGCATGTGTGGACGGCTTTTAGAAATATCATTGCATTTATTTCAGTTTAAAACAATTATATAATCATGTGATATATTTTCTATTTTAGTATCGTGATCACAAAATGGAATGTCCTACATAGTAGAACCAATCTGTGGTAATTTTGTTCTTGTATTCAAGATTCCTGAATCTTCTTGAATATATTGTTGACGAGCCTTCCCACTTGATGAGCTTCCTATTTTAGACACTAAAGCGCTAGTGTTAGCTGTGGTGATCTTTTTACGTGTTGCAGAATCTTGGCGATTTTCATTTGCTGGAGGTTTAGGCAATCTTCTCCGAAGCCAAGCATGTCGAAGTGCCTGAGCTGGGTTCATACGATTAGCTGGGTCCCATTCAAGGCATCTTCGCATAAAATCCAGGAAGAGTGGATCATCTGTACCTTTAAGAGCAGTTACTAGATCTTTACTACCGGGTGGGCCTCTAGTTTTACCTCTTCGAGAACGTCCTCCCTGAAGTACTGTGCTACCATCTGGCAGTGTTGTAACAGTGCAGTATCTAGGTTGACCTTTCGAACTTATAAAATTCCGGGCTCGTTTTGACTGGTCTAGCAATTTTTGTGGTGGCATGCCTTGCAATTCAATAATGGTTGCGAGCTGGTCTCCTTCATCTTCCCCTGGGAACAGTGGATACCCTGTCAGCAGCTCAGCCAGGATACAGCCAAGACTCCACATATCAATAGGCATTCCATACTTTGCTCCTAATATGACTTCTGGCGCCCTATAAAATCTTGACTGGATATATGTATATATGCGCTGATGTTCATAGCAGCTGGATCCAAAGTCTATCACCTTAATTCCACTTCTGCCCTGCTGTTTAAGAAGGATATTTTCTGGTTTGAGATCACAGTGTATGATTCTATTTTTGTAAAGCGCATCTAAACATTGCAAGATTGAGTGTGCAAATTTCCTAACTAGTTGTAAGCTAAATCCTTGAAATTTATTTTTCTTAATAAGTTCATATAAATTCATACTGAGCAATTCAAATGTTATACAAATATGATTGCGAAAACTAAAATGCTCTAACATGTGGACAATGTTCATTGCATTGTCTTTGTCCTGTTTCTTCAAATGTTCAAGAATTCTTATTTCTTCCTGAGCTTGTCTATGGAATCTCTTTTCATTTCGAACCATTTTTAACGCTATATGGGACTGAATTTTGTGATCATAGGCCTTTACAACTTGTCCAAAGCTGCCTTTACCAATAACTTTCAAAACTTCATATCGATAAGCTATATGATCATGTGGTACATGTATATATGAACCATTTTCATCATCATAACCATTGTTATTTGCACCACCTACAACACCCTGTCTTTTCTTAGCATTCTGTCCAACAAAAAATATCGCAGGATAATTGAAAATTTCATGGTGTTCAAATGATGTTAGTTTATGCATATACTGTTTCATCGCAGTTTCAGGACTCATAGCATTATTCCTTCTTGCTGCTGATCCAGACTTGGACCCAATACTTCCAGCACTAGAACTGGGTCTGACCACAGGTAGCGCTGGTTCATCAACGCCGCCATGTTGACCGTGGTCTCTCTTAGTATCATGGTGTTTATGATCCTCGTACAACTGGGTTACTTTTGGTCCCTGTGTACTTACATGAGCACTATGCGAAGCCCCTCCAACTGTTTGACTTGTTAATGGTGGTAAATGATGCGATCCATCAATTGTATGGGTATACATGTCGCCTGTTGTCAAAAGAGATCGAGTCCTTTGTACAGGCACTGGTAATGGTTTTACACGCGTTGACATGTTCCGAAAATAAACACCGAAAAATACCCTTCCTGGCTCTCCGATAGTCTTCTAGAGCTCAAGTCATGTCGCATTTATAATTTAAATTCCACTTGAAACTTTATAAATCAAAATAAAATCCAGATTTCACTACATTGTCTTAGTTCTTTGTTAATAAAGTCTGTTGCTATTTTTCGAAAGACTAATGGAGGTATCGTTGCCAAGCGAGACACTGGTTGGTCAAAACGTCATGTCCCGTGACGTCATGGAAACATGTGGTCACGTGGGGCAAATACCGTTATCCGATTTGTGTATTGGAGGTTTCACGCCACTATATATTTCCAATTTGTTTATTTTTTGTTATGTCCGAATAAATATAAAAGGGTGACTTTAGAAAAAAAGTCATAAAAGAAATATATTTACTATATAAGAACAATTTAAAGCTATAAGAGCTTGTATAATATGATTATTAGTTATTTATCTTTGGGAATTGAAAAAAATGACAAGGGAAAATCGTTTGCATGTTATATTAGGCATAGTGTAAAGCAGATTTTTTTCCGTTACCAATCTGTATATATTGGGAAAAGAGCCTTACCGTCACCATTTAACAAAATGAGCACCATTCTTCTTTACGTTGATTTTTTAAAGAAGCAATGACCTACAGAAGCTATATATTTTTCATGGCTTATGATGGTTTATCCTTTTTAAAGCGAAAAAAGGTATCATTTGCATAAGGGGTATAATATAAGGGGTACCAGGGGTACTAGTAGCATTGCTCGGCAACTTATGCAGAATCAGTACCACAATTACATACTAGTATTGGTTCAGTACTGCAGTGCCAGTTCTGATATATTTTTCAATTACATGTAGTACCAATACCAGAACTTTCATATATTTAACATATTTATCATAAAGTCTAGCGAAAATACACATAAAACAATTTTGATATGGAGCTTCAGAACTAGGTTTTCTTAAAATATATAAATGTATATACAAAATGTATTTAATAGTTTGCTCCTTTGTAAAAAGATAAAACGATACAGTATCCTATATAGATATGAGATGTTCACGTTTGCTCTATCTGAGCAAGTGATGGCATTTTTATAAATACCAAAGAACTACCTCTGTATGTAGTTACTCTACCATTATTTGAGTACCACTTGCACGAGGCAATTAAGCGATATACCAGAAAATGACTGTAGTACGTGTACTGAAGTACCATATCCAATTATACATGTTTGTACATTCATTTAAGATGTCAATATCACTGTTATTTTTATCTAAAGCATGTGGAGCAGTAAGAGAACACCATAAGATGGATGCATTTTTAGTGTTATTTAAAAACTTTGATTTTACGAATACCATGTTGCTTTGCTCGTTATACGGTTTTGATAAATAACTATATATGTGAATACAAATTTTTATATTATATTTTTATCGTATAAAGACATTTTAAGAATAGCGTGGTATAATGAGGCTGGAATTGAACTCGAGGCAGTTGGAAGTGTTAATTTTTACTTGTTGTTCTTTTTTTCTGGAAAGAGTCGGGGCCGGGGTGGGGGATTAATGTATTACCGCATATCACCAGGAATATCATAATTATATTTAGATGTCTACAAACACAATTATTATTCATCAAATGAATTGACGCGCATAAATAAAATTATAGATATACACATATTCAAAAGTTCATTTATGAAGAATAGTAAAGGAATATCTTTGATAGACGTTGACAAAACAGTGAAAGAAGTTCACGAATAAATGTTCAAATGGTTTGATTTCCCTCATCAGTACAAGTCAAAAGTCAAGTCAAGTCAAAAAAACATTTAATTCTCTCATTCCATGTACAAACATGACATAATGGAGTAATAAACATGAATAAAGTATAATGAGGCTCAAATAGCAGTTAATTAACATACTAGCGAAAAATATAATTGAATTGTGCTTCCAGTTTTCAAGTACGTGGAGAGCCAAAACTGTTGTGTATATATATATTACTAAAACATATTAAATAATAAAGAAAGCTAGTATTACATTCAAAGGTATTGTTTCATTTTTCTCGTCACACGCACACACGCACGCACACACACACACACACACACCACATGTATACTTTCTATTTCAACAATGTGTAGTATTAAATTGACGATTTCTGCTCAATAGTCGTAACGACAATCAATATTTTTAACGTAAATGAATATACTACAAAAACTTAAGTAAACATGCGAATCATTTTTAGGGTATAAATGGAGAAGTCTAATTTTAACAATAACAAAAGGTATGGTATAGGGATGCGAATGGTAGATGGGGGTGATAACAAAAAAGGCTTTGCACGTAGATGTTGTTGCATTTACTTCCCTTTAGTTAAAGTGTTAGATAATATTCAAGTTTTTAGTTATGCAGAGTGAATTTGAATATGATCTAGAAAAACTTTCTGATCGGCGGGAACTGGGGTCTCCGTCTACTCTATCGTGGACCTGAACTCAATCAGAGCACGACCTGGGGCATGGAAGCTCCAATAAGGTCTTCCTGCGATGAAACGCGCCCCAGGCCGTGCCAGGTGCACTCCTGTCCCTCGACTTCCCAATGGCGATCGGGGGACAGGAGTACCCCCGACTTCACGGTGAGTCCTATACAAAGGTATCGGAGGCCACAGTTCCCACACAATCTTACAATATTTAATTAGCGAAAAGCTATATCATAGGCCCAAAGAGGAAAAAAAATAGTTCTTTTGTATAATGTAGATAGAAATAACACATTTTCATATAGTGAAAAATAGCATTAGATATTGAGATACGAAAGTGGAGTTAATTAGTATTTCTAAACCTAAACAACTTCTTCTGACCTTTCCTTTAGAAAAATCAAAGATCTGTGGTCTAGTTGAAATGCGGAATACTATAAATTGTGCCACTAGGTCTCCCAAAACGAAACAGAGACTTTGCAGCACTTTTGATATTCGAAGAAAGGAAAGTTATATTATAATTATTACATAGTGGTCAATGCCTTAAATTCTACTTAGTATACACTTAACAAATTTACCTAATTTGAGACGTTCTTGTTTATTGTTAGTATTCATTAATTCAGATGTTTTGATTATATTTGGTCTTCTAAAATAATAAGGTTTTAAGAAGCGTTTACGCTCATTTTCAAAGATTTTGCATTCGAATAAGAAATGAAATTCGTCGCCTAATTTATTACATGACGTACATAGTCTATCATTTAATTGAATTCTTGCCCAGTTTCCGATTTCTATCGGAAGATGGTGGTTTCGAGTACGAAATCGTATCAATGAATATAGAATTGCTGACTTTGGCAAGGATAAAAATGATTCTCTTTCAAATTTGCATTTAAAAAGTTTATAGAAGCTAGCCTTAGAAGAGTTTTCTACATTAGCATACCATTCGTTAATAAACAGATCTTTTAATTTTTGTCGTACTGAAAGTTTTAGCCATTTACTGTTTGGGAAATGATGGTTCGTCCATATATGTATCATTCCACATTTGATAAAAATGTCTTTAATATTATAAAACCAAGGATATTTTCTTTTCAATGATTCATTGCCCAATGTTTTAGCTATGTTAACTACATTTTTGTAAACTACTGAAGATAATTTATTTGGCAATGTATCTGGACTAACATTACATATTCTTGACCAAAATGCGATAGTTTTCTCTTCAATATCTATAGAGAGAGGTGTACAACCGGTTTCCCCATAAACCATATAGTTTGGTGTTGACTTTTTTAACTTTAAAATATACTTAAGAAATTTAAGTTGAACACGTTCAAATTATATCATAATTTCCAAAACCCCATATTTCAGATCCGTATAAAAGAATTGGTTTGATTGTTTTATTGAACATGTCAATTTGTAAATCTATGGGTAAACTTAATCTATTTGAATTTTTAATTAGGCTATACATAGCGCGAGTTGCTTGTGTAGATAAATGTTTCTTACATTTAAAAAATGATCCGCTTCTACTAAAATATATTCCAAGGTACTTATATTCTTGCACTATTTCTAACTGTTGATTATTAAATGAAAAATGATATTGAGGTATTCTTCCTTTTGAGAAAATTAAAATTTTTGATTTTTCAATATTTACGGTTAGCTTCCAAGCATCACAATATTCTTCATATAAATCAAGAGAGTTTTGTAATTCATCTTCACTGTTAGCTAAAATAACAGTATCATCTGCATAAAGTAAGATAAATAATTTTAAAAAAGTCTGCATATCATCTGTATTTTCACTATCAGGTATAAGTATTCCATTTATATTAGTATTATTGTCAAAAAAATTGTGTAGATCATTTAGGTAAAGAGAAAACATCAAAGGCGAAAGGTTTTCGCCTTGTCTTACACCAATATTACATGGAAAGAAACTTGATACAGTTGAATTTGATTTAACACATGATTTAATATTATTGTACATGTTTTTAATAAAATTAAAACATTTTCCATTGATATTATAATTACCTAATTTATTCCAAAGACCATCTCGCCAAACAGTATCAAAAGCTTGTTTAAGGTCTATAAAAGCGCAAAATAATTTCTTTTTGTTATTATTATTATATTGAATTAAATGTTGAAGAATAAACATATTATCTTGAGTTGAAAAACCTTTTCGAAAACCAGCTTGAGAATTATGTAAAATATCATTTGATTCAACGTAATTTGTCAATCTGTTATTGATAATGCAAGTAAATAATTTACCAAAGCAACTGAGCAGAGTTATGGGCCTGTAATTTTCTGGTTTAGATTTGTCACCTTTATTTTTATAAATTGGATTTATGAGTCCAATGGTCCATGATTCCGGGATTGTGCCATTGTCTAAAATCAAATTGAATAGTTTAAGGTAAACGTTTTTAAAAAAATATGATACGAGTATTTAATGTGTTCATTTACAATATTATCAATTCCACATGATTTGTTATTTTTTAGAGATTTGACTGCTTTTGATATTTCTTCTTCAGTTATTGGACAGTTGATAGTTTCATTTATTTCTGCATTTTGCGTTTGAATGTGAACCTCTGGTATTTGATCGCTTATATTGCTTGCAAAATTATTTTCTTTGAAATAAGAATACAATTCATTAATACCACACTCTATTTTTTCTTTGTTGTTACCTTTTAAAATTTTCCAATATTTTCTAGGATCAGAATGTTTTAATTTCCTTAATTTTTCTATATTTTTATTTTTAGCTTTATTATAAAAAAGTTTCATGGTTTCTTTATACATTTTACTTTTTGTTTTAAGGTTTTCTTTATTAGTCTCTGATTTTCGCAATTTATAAAGGTATTTAGCCTTATGGAATTGTTTACGCGCAGTTCGACATTTATGCCCAAACCACGTCGATGAATCAGACGATTTTTCATTATTTATATTTTTATTTTTATTGTTGCGCATAGAACCAAAAGATGTTTTAGAGGATCGAAGAAATAAAGAAGCAATATCTGACATGATATTATCCACAGTTTCTTGGTTAAAATTGTCTTTAATTTCCTGATTATCTAACTTATCTGATAGTCTACATACTTCATTCAAATCTATATTAAGTACGAATTCATTTATTTTAGAGTTATCCCATAATCTTATGTCAGGAGTATCGTTAGAATCGGTTTCCGTACTTTTGGAAATTCCTATGTTTAGTGTTAAACTTAAAGGGTTATGAGCATCCGATAACAATGGACAGAAATCTAATACCTGCATGTTGTTTATGTATTTAAAAATATTTGAACTGCATAAAAAATAATCTACTGTGCTAGAGGACTTACAAGTTAACATTCCTGTTTCGTTTCCCTTTGTTCTGCCATTTAAGATATAAATATTATTAAACTGGAGAAATTCGATAAGTCTGTTACCATAATTATTTGCAATATGATCACAGTTTCTACGACGCTTCGACAAATGTTCTGCATTATCAAATTTTTGCATTTCCGCATTATACTCATCACATATTTCATAAAGATTTTGCATATTAAAAAAGTCGGTGTCTAACACAATGTAGTCGTTTAGTTCTTTGGTCCTAGCGTTAAAATCACCGAACAATGAATGGTATGTGTATTTGTCTGATAAACTGTTCAGTTCTAGCTGAATCTCTAAAAACGGGTCTTCGACCGAGTAATCTGATCTTTCAGGTGGTATGTAAACCACACCACATAAAATGTCTGATTCAGTTTTGAAAAGTTTTTTCGATAGAGAGAACCAAAGAACAAGGTTAGATTTTGATTCTATTACAGTTACATATTTCGACAAAGCACATCTGTAAGCAAGAGCGATTCCGCCTGAAGCACGTTTACTAAATTTCCTGTTTTTAAAATGAAGTTTGTAACCAGAGAGTTCGACATGATCCAGATCATTTAGTTTTGTTTCTTGTAATCCAATTACTTCATATCGGTTGAGCATTTCAGTAAATTCAGGACATTTTATCTTTGATTTCAACCCACAAACATTCAGCGAAAGAAATGAAAGATTACAATTAATTTTATTTGATATTGTATTGTTCTGTAGACCTTTACTATCATTGTTATTTCCATTATTATTACTTCTACTATTATTATCATCAAATTGATTATTATCATAATTATTATTATTATTATTATTATTATTGTTATTATTATTATTATTATTATTATTATTATTATTATTATTATTATTATTATTATTATTATTATTATTTGTATCATCATCATTATTATTATTATTATTATTATTATTATTATTATTATTATTATTATTATTATTATTATTATTATTATTATTATTATTATTATTATTATTATTATTATTATTATTATCATTTACGTTGTTATTGTTTACGTTGTTTTTATTTACGTCTATGTTATTTACTAGTTGGGCTTCTTTAAAAACATTACTGCTATAGATACTATAGTGATACATATTTGAAAAAAAGAATACCAGTACATTGTAAAAATAAACAAATTCTAACAAAGTATAATATAAATGTTGATGCAGATGAATAAATGAGCAAACATACATGCACATACACTCGTGCAGAAAACATGGTATACACAATAAATTATTTTTCAAGTTTGCTTTTGCATATTTACAAACACATGTTGTGTGGAAGTTAGAGCTATTATTATCAAAAAAATATAATTCTTCTTTCCCAAATGGCACTGTTCTTACATTAAGATAGTATGTCAAAAATTCAAAGCAAGGATATAATTCTATCTTTGCTCTTATAGTATGATAACCGTTAATTAAGTACTCCACAAAATGTAATGCCGTAACCTCAGACAGAAATACAAGTTTAAAAAAGTGGATGGCAATTGATTGATTTTGAATATAAAAAATAATCATATTGTTAATTACGCAACAGAAAGTCACACCAAAATATACAAAATTTTGTAAAATTAACATTAGATTCAACAATTCTAAACAGTATATGGTGGTGATATGAAAATGGAATTTACATCCTATCATATTAAAATTTATGTGGTAGTAACAAAAATACATGAGAAAATCTGTTAACGTTGTGTAGAAGAAAAATAACAACGCATATGTCAGGAAAAATGCGCAACACAATTTTAGATAGCTAATTGCATAAAATATGTACTGAATGACAATCAATAATTGATATTGAGCTTTTAAACAATGTGTGTTACAGAAGAGAAATTGAAAATACGTGATCGCATGAATAAACAAGAGTAAGAAATTAACAGTATGCGTCCCGGTCCATTCAATTGGAAACAAGTTATCATTTCTTATATTTACATTGTTGGGGTATTCTTCATATTTAGACGGGTTTCCCTTTGCTTTATATTCTAATGGGTGATAGTATGCCGTTTCTACAAATTGTTTATGTATATTGAAGATCATACGATGAAAAGTGCAATACAAAATCAAACAGGCGTTTACATAGAATAGTTGTAAACAGTAGATGTTATTTAAACGGTAAAATTTACACGTGCATTCAAGCATTTCACATACTATATCTGCTGTATAGCAAAACTGACACTGCCGACTGAGATAATAGTTTACTAGGTCACTAAATTGATCACGTGACTCTCCACATCTGTCCTACACTATTTGAGGCGCGGGCGGTGTAATTACTGGCAAATTCTCACTAACTGAATCTGTTATCATTTCGTCATTTAATAAAGAAACTAACGGAATTTCTTTTCCCGAGAAGTTTCCATGAATTGTCGTGGCGTGGGAGCTCGGTGAGGAACTGTCATCTAGACGCTTTGTTACAAACTCTATATCTAGTGGGGAACAAACTTTCCGTTTCTGTTGGTCGGTGCGGTCTAATACCGCAAGTGATTGATACCGGTTTGGGGTAGTGAAATCCAAAGGTCTTGAAGAATCCAAACGCTTCCGGTTTTGTATGCTCGGTTTATAACGATATGTGTTTTTGAAACCATTGTCTTGTGAATGAGCGTGTCCCTGTACAGGGATATTACTTGGTCCTTCCGAAGTGTTAATATGTGATGGATGTGTGTAACGGTTACTATTTTCGCCGTATGCCGGGGGCTGTGGCTTTGCTAGAAATTTAGTGTTACCAAATTTGTCTGTATATTTGTAAGTTTGTGGGTCAAACAGTTTATTATTGACATAAAGACGATCTTTGACTAACACAACTTTTTGATCTTGTTCTGATAGTTTTCGAGCAGGATAATACAATTTTTTTCTCCGATCTTCTACTTCTCTGGGGAAATGTTCATGAATTTTAATCTGTTTTTGACTTTTATTAAATAGTATGCCTGCTTTTCTTACATTTTCTCTATCACTAAATGATTCAAATGTTACCACTATAGGTCTCGGGCGATGCGACTCTGCTGCTTTCACAGGATCACCGATCCTTTTCACTTGCGAGAATTTTATGGAGTCTACATCAATTGGGGCCTCCTTGTTTATATCAATATTGTTTTGTATACTGTCTTTCAGGGTTTTTCTAATGGTAACTTCTGGGATTTCTGGTTGAATTCTATGTGCATTTTGTTCCTGGTCAAATCCTCGGCGGGCCTCATTTACACCGAATACAATGAGGTTATTTTTCAGGACATCGCATTGTGTGTCGAGGCATTTATTATACATGTCTATATGTTTACTTTCTAAATAATTGTTTTTGTGTTCGAGTTCATCGATTTGCGACTGTAGATTTTTGTTGGTTGCCTCTAACTGCCTCACAGATTCTTCGGTCTCACTTTTTGACTTAAGCAGATCATCAGAAATACCACTTATATATGAGCAGGAGTTTTCAGTGTGAGCTATTCTAGTAGACATGGATTTATTTTCTTCTGCGAGTTTCTGCACATTTACTTTTAGGTAAGCAACATTTTGTTCAATTTTTGATATTTTATCTACATTTTGCTCAATAGATTTCAAGCGACTGTCCATAGACTGCATACTGTTAGACATTTGTCGCATTAGATCATATAATGTTTCATTTGAGTTTGTATTGTCATAATTGTATGTCTGAGGAGGACTTGATGTTGGCGCATACCCAGGGATTCCTGGAATGTGGAAGGGTGGCAAGAATGGATATTGTAGCCCGCTATAAGGCGGAATGAATGTTGCACTGTTTTGGGGGGCTCTATTTACACCATCTGACCCTGGCGAGCTTGCAGGGTTTGTTGAATGATTACCTTTGTTTATGTTTTGTCCGCAAGTTTTCTTACCGGTATCTTTAGAAGCCATGATTTTTCACAGTTTTTTCACAGTTTCACAGTAATGTCCAAATTTTCACGATTATTTCCATAAAATCACTAAGTATTATCAAATATACTAAACAAATATAGTTTCCAAATCAGTATATCCCAATATTGTCCAATATTTTCCAGTTTTCTTCGCAAACACCAATTTTTTTTATATTTCGAGTTTCAATATTTGAAAAAAGCGGCCATATTTTCGAGCCTCGTTTTCGTACAGACAAATATTTTGATAGGATTAAAAAGACTATTAAGAATGTTTTGACACCCGTACCTTTATCAAATGGTTACAATAAAAATGTCAGTGCCAACCTTTTATTTTTCACAGTTTGTAGACAGTACATATTCACATTTATTTGTATTCATGAAATAATCCGTACAAACAATAAGATAAACATATAATATAACTATCGTTTCAAATTTATGTTCAAACGTAAACAAATATTTTAAAACTATATTGTAACTTTATCGTGTAGAAACATTAAATAAATGAATGAATGAATGAATGAATGAATGAATGAATGAATGAATGAATGAATGAATGAATGAATGAATGAATGAACGAACGAACGAACGAACGAACGAACGAACGAACGATGTTGAGACGGTTTCTACATTATTTGAAGAACAAGTAAAAACTTATATCGAAAGTAACAAGATTAGCCTCACTGTGTGACTGATATATAGTTACTTACCAAACTCAAACAAGAAAAAAACAAAAGTTAGTAGTGATTGCACTTGCTTACATTTTTTATAAATGAAAGATAAATCTGATAGGTAATTTAAACATTTAACCGTAGAATTGTCTCCCTTTGACACATTCAGCAATAGAATTAACGGTAACATGAAACTAGCTATCACTGTTCGATTCATGTCAATTTTACTGAAATTCTTTCTTCTTTTCAGAAAGTGACACAATTTGACCTTTTTAAATGCTGTACAATTTCACTACTTGCACTGCATGTATTGTTTTTATAAAGTTTTGTTGTAGGGAAACGTCTAGTTTTGTAACCAAGGAAGTGTATTATTGATCTCGTTCAATAAATACCTAAGAAATACATAAATTTATATAATTTTCTACTGACGTGGGATAAAAGAGATACACAACAATAATTATTTTATATCATTTATTTTACAATTTCACATGATCATCTTTTTAATTAAATAGAATTAACTCATAATTTACATTTTCATCATACATAATAAAATCAATTATTTAACAAACATTTTTGTATCTCCACATGTACATCTATTTTCTGACATAAAACCACAATTTCATACCATCGTCTACTTTACATATTGAAAATAAACTTAAAAATTTCACATCTTCATCTGTTCTAATCATTCAATGAACTATAAGAATTATTGACACTACTTACTGCCTCAGAAATGAATAAATTTTAGAGCAAACTTTATGAGAATAATAACGTGTAAATAATGATTTAAGAGCTTAATTATTACTGAAAGAAAGTAGAGCTGAATGTGAAATTAGATGTTATAAAGGTACAAAGTAGTATTTTGACTGCCATACAAAATACTAAAACTGCTTAAATGCAACTACAGAAGAAAGCAATGGTTCATGTAAATGACCATCAAATATCTTTTTGGAAACTGTTCCAGAACTGCAAAATTTATACAAAAAACTTTTGGTATATAAAATTGAAAGCATTTCTGAGACAGAGTGTGCTTTTAACATAAACTCACAATTTAAAACCATCTTGTACACCAAATAATTGACAAGAAGTATACAAGAACTATTTTTCATAACATGAAGTACAACATTTACTTGCCAGATCTATACAAGAATAATATTGTATAGCATCATGTACACCAATTTTTGACCAGAACTGTACAAGAACTATAATGTATAGTTTCGTTTTTACCAATTATTGACAAAACCTATACAAGAACTATATCTTATAGCATTATTAACACAAATTATTGACCAGACATATACAATAACTTTATCTTGTATCATAGTTTGGGAACCTTTCTGTTGAAAATGTGTCAGAGTTAAATTGTATACATATATACATGCACAGTGCGTTAACTGGAGTGCAGGTTAGGCCGCTATTCCATTTATACGTGATCAGTGGTCCGCGTCCGTCATCCGCATCCGTTACCGATTCGCTAATCAAAGAATACGTTGAATCTATTCCTTTTGTCCGTTTACCATCCGCTTCCGCGACGGCATCCGCGACGTTTCGCAGGATGAGCGATTTTTAACGGACGCGGACAGTCACTGACATGTTTCATCCCTACAAAATGCCTCGAACGAAACTAAATACTTTATCGATTTCGAAAGAAAATACTAAAGAAGTCACCAAAATAGTCTGGGAGAACCTATAAGTTTATGATGCAGCAATGACAGATTAAAAAAAAAAACAACATCTGGTCATCGGTTGCTAAAGAGATGCTATTTGAAAACCTAACTGATATTCAATGTTTGTTACCTAATTCTTTGATGTTACAACTGTTTTTGGTATTAGAATGAAATTATATCTTATTCTACAAATAATAATCCTCTGTTCGCTATACTTCAATTAAAAGTATATAGAAAATAACGTACATATGGAATAATACCAACGGACATGCCCGGACACGGATCACTGACGCGGACCACTGATCACGTATAAATGGAATAGCGGCCTTTTAGTTACCCGCGCTCCAGAGCATGCCCATTGATTGGCTCATTTTTGCTGGGGTTTACATATTGTGACGGCAGAGAAAGGGAAAGCGTCAGAAATATCATATTCAGATGCTCGTTCATTGGTTCCTTTTTGCCGGGGTTTCATATTGTGACAACAGGGAACGTGTTTTTATGTTTGACTATGATACAAAAGAGAAAGAACATCAAAACACTCGGCAATCTGATTAATACTCGGGGGCTACGCCCCCTCGTACAAATCAGATAGCCTCGTGTTTCGATGCTCTTTCTATTACTTATTGTATAGGCCTGGTCAATAATTGGTGCACATGATGCTATAAGTAATAGAAAGAGCATCGAAACACGAGGTTATCTGATTTGTACGAGGGGGCGTAGCCCCCGAGTATTAATCAGATTGCCGAGTGTTTTGATGTTCTTTCTCTTTTGTATCATAGTCAAACATAAAAACACGTTTCCTGTTTCACAATATGAAACCTCAGAAAAAAGGAACCAATGAACGAGCATCTGAATATGATATTTCTGTCGCTTTACCTTTCTCTGCCGTCACAACAAGTAAACCCCAGCAAAAATGAGCCAATCAATGGGCATGCTCTGGAGTGCGG